AAAACCCATCGGGGAGAGGCCCCAGCGCCGCCCGGAATGACCCCGATTCCCTGGGAGCCGATCCCGATTCCCTGGGAGCCGATCCCGATTCCCTGGGAGCCGATCCCGATTCCTTGGGAGCCGATCCTGATTCCCTGGGAGCCAATCCCGATTCCCTGGGAGCAAATCCCAATTCCTGGGGTGGATCCCAATTCCCTGGGAGCCGATCCCAATTCCCTGGGAGCCGATCCCGATTCCCGGGGTGGATCCCAATTCCCTGGGAGCCGATCCCAATTCCCTGGGAGCCGATCCCGATTCCCGGGGTGGATCCCGATTCCCTGGGAGCCGATCCCGATTCCCTGGGAGCAGATCCCGATTCCCGGGGTGGATCCCAGGGGTGGCGGGATCCCTTTTCCTCTCCGCTCCGGGGAGGGATTTGGGATCATCCCACAACTCCTGGATCTCCCTGTGCTTCCAGATGGATCCTCATCCCTCACCTGCGCCACGCCCAGCCTGGGAAACCTCCTCCTCCTCCTCCTCCTCTTCCTCCTCCTGGCTTGAGGACACCGGGGAGAAGATCCCCAAAAAATCCTCCGGAGTGGCCGGCATCGCCCGATTCCTGGTTAATTCGGAAATCCTCATCCCAAAATCCACGCCCAGACCCCGCTCCGAGCCTTTCCCGGCTTTTCCCGGAATTTTGGGGGGTCCTCCTTGGGTTTTTGGGAGGCGGCGCCTTTGGTTTTCCCCGCGAGGGAGGGTTTGGGGTCGGTCTCTGCTTTCCCGAGTGTTTGTTTGAACATTAAACTCCATCCTGAAAACCATATTTATTTTCCCCTGGATTTTTCTGTCTTTCCCTGGATTTTCTCTGGATTTTCCCTGGACTTTTCCTGAACTTTTCCTGAATTTTTCCTGAACTTTTCCTGATTTTTTTTTTTTCCAGAATTTTCCTGAAATTTTCCTGATTTTTTTCTGAATTTTTCCCAGATTTTCCCTGAATTTTTCCCAAATTTTTCTCGAATTTTTCCTGCACTTTTTGCTGAATTTTTCCTGAACTTTTCCTGAACTTTTCCTGAATTTTTCATGCACTTTCCCTGAATTTTTCCTGAATTTTCCTGAAATTTTCCTGATTTTTTTTCTGAATTTTTCCCGGATTTTCCCCGAATTTTCCCTGAATTTTTCTCAATTTTTTCCCAAATTTCCCCCGAATTTTTCCCCAGATTTTCCCTGAATTTTTCCTGCACTTTTCCTGAATTTTTTTCTGAATTTTTTCTGAAATTTTCCTGGGGTTTTCTGGGTTTTTCACTGATTTTCCCGGATTTTTCCGGATTTTTCCCTGGGCTGGGGCTTCCCACGGCTCAGGGATTGGGGAGGGGGGATAAGATGGAAAAAGCTCCGAGACGTTCCCCCCTTTTTTTGGGGATAAAATTCCCTCCTTTTTCTTCCAGGGCAGGACCCGGCTCCGGAGGGTGGGACAGGCGGGAAGAAATCTTGGGAATGATGGAAAACTCTGGGAAAGTTTGGGACGCTTCCAGCTCCACCAACCCAACCCCCAAAAAAATCCCCAAAATGCCCCCAAACACCCCAAAACCAACTTTGCCACCCCAAAATCGTTCCAAGATTCCCATTCCAGAAGTTTCCAGGAGGAACCGCTGCTGGTTTCTCCTGGATTAATTCATCCCGCTCTTCCCCATCCGTATTTTTTTTTTTTTCCTGGAAAAATCTGATTTTTGGGAAATTACGGTTTTGGGGTTTTTTTTTTTTAATCTCATCAGGTGCTTTCTGAGCAGGAAGGAGGAGCTTCACAGGATGTTCCGGGTGGGTTTTTTTGGGTGGTTTTGGGGTTTTTTTCGCAGTTCAAAAATCATTTCCCGGCAGCAAAAACCTGGTGGAAAACTCCGAGCTTGGAAAACAGCGGGAATGTGAATCCTGGGATTCCCTGGGCTTGGATTTGGGGTAAAATCCTGGGATTTTTCCATCCCTGGAGGTGCCCAAGGAAGGAGAGGGTGGGAATTGGCCAAAACGTGAATCCTGGAGCTCTTCTCCAGCCTCGGGGATCCTGGAATTCCGGCTCCACGCCCTGAAAATCGGGAAAATCGGGAATTTGGAGAAAGGAAAAGGCAAAAAAAACCCCTCGGATTTCAAAGCTCCTCCACTAAAACCCGTCAAGATTTTCCAGCAGCAGATCCACAACTGGATTTTTCCCTGTCTTTCCACCAGGAAAAACCTTCCCCATCCCCAAATTCACCCAAATTCACCCAAATCCACCCAAATCCACCCAAATCCACCCAAATCCACCAAAATCCACCCAAATTCACCCAGAACGAGGATTTGGCTTCTCCCAGGTGAGTTTTTGGGGACCTCCCATCCTTTTCCTCCTCGCTGCGGATCCCGCGGAGCTCCAAGCTGGGATATTCCCGGGAAATTTGGGGTTTTCCCAACTTTTTTTTAGGGGGGATGAAGCAACTTTTGGGATGCGGGATCGCTTTGAAACTTTCACCTTCCCGGAGAGCTGGAAAAATCCAGGAATTTTTTCCCCTGGACCAACCCAAGGACCCTCAACGGGACGAGGAAATCCCGCCAGGAAAACCGAATCCATTTCCTTCCCTCCGCAGCTTTTTGGGGCGCGGATCCCCCCTGCGCTTTGAATAATTTCCGGCACGGAGAGAATAAAAAAAGCCAAGATTTGACTCGTTCGGCCCCAAAAACAAAACGAAACAGGAAATGAGAGGCCCAGGGGTGAAGATCTTCCCGTCACCACCTGCTCCGAGCCCCGGAGCGGCTCCGTGATCCCGGGATGGGCTCCGGCGTTTGGCTCCGGCTGCTCCTCGCCCTCGGAGCTCTTTGGGGTGCGTTGGTTTTTCCCTTCCGAATTCTTTTGGGTGGTTTTTCGTGGATTTTGGGGGCGGATCTGAAGGGGTTTTGGGTTTTTTTTGGGGGTGGAGGCGCTCCGGGGGTGGGATGTGAGGAGAATCCCGAAAACTCTCCCGAGAGGGAAGACGGGACTCGAAAACGATGGAAGGAATTCCGCTGGAAAAGTGAAGGATTTGGGCAAATCTCGGCGGGGTTTTGAGAGCTCTGAGGGATTAATTCCGTGCCAGAGGGGTTTGGGATGTTCCAGGGGAAGATTCCCGGGTGGATTGGCTCAAATCCCTGGGCCGGGAGGTGCTTCCCAAGGAATAAAACCATGGAATGCTTTGGCTTGGGAGTTCCTTGAGGATGGGCGGCTTCCAACCCTTCGCCATGGGACAACTTCCATGAAAATGGGGCCGATCCCTGTTTTTGGAGGGGTCTGGAGAGCCAAAACTCCTTCCAAAGAGAATCCTTTGGATTTGGGGGTCTCTCCTTTGGATTTGGGGGTCTCTCCTTTGGATTTGGAGGGCTTTCCTTTGGATTTGGGGGCTTTCCTTTGGATTTGGGGGCTTTCCTTTGGATTTGGGATCTCTCCCCTGGATCTGGGATCCCTCCCCTGGATTTGGGATCTCTCCCCTTGATTTGGGATCTCTCCCCCAGATCTGGGATCTCTCCCCTGGATCTGGAAGTTTCTCCCTTGGATCTGGGATCTCTTCCCTGGATCTGGGATCTCTCCCCTGGATCTGGGATCTCTCTCCTGGATTTGGGATCTCTCTCCTGGATCTGGGATCTCTCTCCTGGATCTGGGATCTCTTCCCTGGATCTGGGATCTCTCTCCTGGATCTGGGATCTCTCTCCTGGACCTGGGATCTCTTCCCTGGATCTGGGATCTCTCCCCTGGATCTGGGATCTCTCCCCTGGATCTGGAAGTTTCTCCCTTGGATCTGGGATCCTGTGGCTCACCGGGCCGGATCCACCATCCCGATCCCAGAGGATTCCTTTGGGATGGGGACGAGGGCGATCCCCGCCATCCCCAACCCTTCTCCCTCCCCTTTCCCCAGGGATCGGAGCCCGGGAAACGGTGCTGGGAACTTTGGGAGAGGCGACCTTCCTGCGGATCCCCCGCCAGCTCCAGGAGCGCACCCAGGAATTCGGGGAAGCCTCCTGGAAAAAACTGACGGAGGAGCTGCAGAGGAAGAAATTCCTGCTGAAGATTTCCGGCGGGAACTACACGGAGTTCGAGCCGGGCCGGGTGAGCTTCCACCGCCGGGATTTTTCCCTGGAAATCCTCAACACCAGCCGGGATGACCGCCGGCTCTACGAGTACAGCGTCAGCAACGGGCAGGAGGAGGAGATCTGGCAGATCCAGCTGGAAGTGTTCGGTAAAAAAAAAATTCCCCTGGGATTCACCGGGATGGACGATCCCCGTTTTTTTTTCCAGGATGTTCCT